TAATATTTTTATACGCAGAATGATAAAAAAATTAGGAATGCACCAGATCATAAAATTATCGAATTCAAAATATCGGATATCCGGTATTATATTGTTTTTGAATATCCGCTGTACGCTGTACAGTCGGATATTCGGTAGGGTTATCGGATATTCTACTACATATTACCAGATATTAATGATATCCGACTATCCGATCAGATAGTAAAAAAGTACCAGATAATACCGGATGCCGGATATTTCTTGGATCTGGTGCATCCCTATAAAAAATTAATTCGAAAGTTAAAAAAATTTTTATCTAATAAATGAAGATAACCTTTATATATATTATAGACATCTCCTCCTTAAAAAAAGGTTATTCTATTAAGCAATATTTCTTTTATACCATATAATTTTTATTGATTTTGTTCCTCTTTAATTTAATGCACCATATTTTAAAAATATTTTAGATGATAACATTACATAGGACATCCTGTATAATTGTTTTTCTGTTGTCGACACATAATGCGATCATATATTTTTAAATTTTATTTTGAATCGTGCGAGCTTTGTGAAATGTGTATGAGAGGTAGTTTTAACTACCATATAATCTGTCTTATTTACATCTCTCCAAACCTCTGTGTCAAATTATATTAAATATGATTATTTAATATTAGAAAAATATAAAGATCTCAAATTGATGGAAATAATAGTATTTCAAAAAAATATTTCGTATTTTGATAGTAGTTTCAAAATGTTTTGATAGTGCAAAATTAATTAACTAGTCACATTAATAATATAAAAGTAACAATTGAGAAATTAACACATTAAATAAAGTCGCCATAAAGAACGAGTATATTATAATTATGCCCTTTCTTTGCAATAAATTCAAATTATTTTATCCATCACGCCGATTTTATAATGATAATGAATTATTTGGGCAATGATTTTAATAGTTCAAGTAAATTTTCTATTATCGAATAACGACTTTTTAACGGTGTACTATAATCGTTTCATGTGATCTCCGGGACAAATAACTATATATTGTGTATATAATATAAATACTTTTACGAAAAAATTCAAGAAAATTAACTTAGATTCACACATGTTAAAAATATAGTGGAATATGTTCAAACGATTTAGTTCTCAATATAAAAAAATTTTCAAAAAGAGGTATATGCGTATGTACAGGTACACAAACATACGTACTATGTACATAAATTATATATAAAAACATATATATATAGTGCAAGTCTCTCTATGTACATATGTATCATTCTTTCGTGTAGAAATACACTACCTGAATATCAAAGTAAACTCGTTATGACATCGAAGTTGTTGATCGTTTTCTTTTTATAGACTTATTTCACATGCAAAATAAAATATTTTATCTTTTATAAATTTAATAAATAGCATATACCGTCCCGCTGTCAGAAAATTCGCATTGTCTTTCATACGATATTATCTTTGTATTAAAAAAGACAAGAATATAAAAAATATTTAAAGTGACACTCATCATTAATTCTCTAATTTAAAAAAAAAAACAAATTTGTTTGCAAAAAATGTGTTTGTTAAAAAGAATCTTTTTCTACATACTTGTACATTCTTTTTGCGCGAGGATTTACCTGGTTTTGCACCACAAATCTCGCCTCATATTTTCTACTTTTAAAAAACCAAATAGTGTAATATGCAATTTTTATCAAATTAATATTGAAAGTATATCATTCATTATTATAATCATCCTTCTTTTTAATACGCAGTATTTAGTAATTACATGCAATTTTTGTCACACCTTATATACATACATTTTTGGACCAGTCGATTAAATTTTTATGAACCCTATACCTATATATAAATTTATTTATTAGTCACGTGCGAAAAGTATTTTAAATTTAGTCAAATAATTTACGTATCGCTTTTGGTAAAACTTTTATTATCAATCAATATTGTCAATATTTTGGAAAAAAAGATCTTCGACGAAGAGCTTTATAAAAAAAACTAAACTGAATGCCGATTGTTCTCTACAGATGTGTGATGATTGATTATAGGATAGAAAAAATTAAGATCCATATGTAAAGTGAAAAAAAACCGATTTAAGATCTATAGGAATATAAGTATGTGACTGTTTAGATTGTTATTATAAATATTACCAATACTTATAAAATGATCGACACAGAAAACAACGACGTACATGTCTCAAGATGTATGAAGATAATATAACAAATTTGAATTGTATGTTCTTACTTTTCTTCCATCTTTTTCGGCTTAAAAATTTCATTATCCTATCGAATTTCTTCCTCCTCTCTTTTAAATTAAACATGTTATCTATATTAATTTTTTTTATCATAGAGATTATATTATATCCTGTTTTTATTGCGAAAAAAAATAATTTCGTTATATTACATCATCTAGAGATAATACGATTTATATTTGCATTTACATTTAATGATTCAGGTCTTCATAAAGAACTATTATTTTTTAAAATTGTTACACTTATCGTTTTTGCATTTATGATTATTGAGATTCAAAATCTTTAAGAGTTTTATATATTTGTATATTAGAAGTTTCATATTTTTATAAAACTGTAAATCAATGTCTAAAACTAAATATTTCCAAAAATTTTGTATTTATATTAATTTATATTTATACTACACGCATATTTTTAAATTTCGTATCATACATTTAATATCTCCAATTAAGTAAAATTTTTAAGTTTTCATATATATAACTATTTCACAGCAACTTCATTTTGAAGTCCAGAAAGACATTAATATTCTCGTGACATAAGAATAAACTAGATATATGAAAAAATATTTATGTATAAAAGAGTCATCTAAAAATATACATTTCAGTTTTGACTTTTCAAATTATATCTATTAATATTTTTTATTTTTCTAGAAAATCGATGAAATCACAATTGTGATGTCGAAATAATGTTGTGTAAATATTATTTTTTTCTTAAAAAGATATATTTATGTTAGGAATTATTTAAATAAATAAAAAATATGGCATGAACAATTTTTCTCTCTTCTTTTTTCGCGTAATCATATTATTGATAATTTAAAATATGTTCAAAGATGACACGAAGTTCAATAATACAATTGTAAGATAGGAAGTAATTGTAAAAATTATATATATATTTTGTAGAGGTAGGTAACTGTATTTTTCTCGTTATCATCTGCTTTGTTTCGACTAATCGCTTCTTATATTCATCACATATTCGCTGAGAGGGCGTTAGTGCACAGCCAAAGGAACTTTCGTAATATAAAACTAGTAAGATAAAACTACGTAACAATTGTCTTATTGCATTTTCAACCAATTTCCAATTGTACGATCAAATTTTAGGAATACAATATTTCTAATAAATTTTGTTTTGAAATCTCTAAGAATAAAATGCAATCTTTCAAGTACAAATCGTTCATTTTCATCACTAGTTCGAAAGTGTAAATCAAAATTGCAATTTAATCATTTAAAATTCTACATATCGCAATTATAGTTTCTAATGACTTCTCTCTCTCTCTGTTGATGATCAACGTGAAAATATTAAATTATGAAGAATCCCATCACAAATAATACGAAGTTTATCTGTAAATGAAATTCTCGCACATCGCGTTATCATTTTCATTAAGTTTATGTGATGAAAATTTCGTAGTGAATAACAAGTACGTGCCACTTAATCACTTTAATTAAAAGTATTTGACATGTCATATCTAATGAGAACTGTAATTATAACGAAAAGTTTTTCAAAAAAAGCGTTAGTATCATTTTCGCGCGTTATAGGTATCAGAATTTACCTTATCAAACTTAACCGCCATGACGCGGCGTCGATCACGATCCATCCAAACGGCATTGATCGCGAAGATCCGCAATGATCGACATGTTTTAACGATCGCCCGTCACTTGAGTCAGCGTTCACTGATGAAACTTCGCATTAGATATGCATTACGAATGGATAAAAGTCACAATGAGTGCGGAGCAATTCGCACTTCTCATTCCGAACCGACGCGCCGATGAAACTGTCATGGCGGCCGATCGGCACGCGGGACATTCGATTTGAGAGAATTTGAAATATCTCGAAAGTAAAATCGGTGGCACACGATGCTTGTTTTCCTAGATTGTTTTGCTGGATTGCTAGTCGGATTAGAATCGTATTGGCAGCGATATTAACAGTGCCAGCATCAATATAATAGCAAGATCGAATCTAATCCAGCTATCAATAATCCAGTAAGAAAACAGGCACCGCCCAGTGAGAAATGATAGTGAAATCGACATCGATATCGATTCCATGTCGAAAGCGTCAAATCGATATCGATCGATTCGATATCGATTTCATTGTCATTTCTTTAATTCGCGATGAGCGACGAATGTGATTCTTGAGGTATGTATTAAAACCGCTAACTTGAGTAGTAATTAAATATTCTTAAAAACAGTTGATTACAATTTACATTAATTAAAATCAATTACAGTTATTGTAATTTGTTCAATATATAAAATATCGAATTTTGTCTCCTTTTCTCCTATTAAAAATAACATTAAAATACCTGACTAATCGGAAAGATGATTAACTTAAAAATAACCTTAAACTAATCGCAGCAATATTTAACATGAATCTCAAATTATAATTAATTAATATTTTTGTAATATATATTCGAAGATGAAACAATTAAAATCGACTATTTACAGTTGAACGTGAGCAGAATAAGCGATTTAATTCTCCTCACATTCGACTGTAATTGGTTAATTTTTTACAGCTTACGGCATAAATTAACAGATTACGGCATGTATATTTATAAACTGTAAATGATCCTTAAAGACACGCTGAGTGCAAAAAAGCGCAAAGAAGCAACGCGATGAAACTTATTATCTATCTATCTCCGGGATTGTATAACCGACAGATTGCGTCCTCTGGTAGCGACGCGAGCAATCACGATGACCGACCAGGTGAACCGAGAGTATCCCAGGTCCAGAGGTCGCTTCGCGCCGGCGTGGGTTTATTGCAGCAGTATCGCGCGTCTCTTCGCGCCGGTCGTTTCTCGTTCGATTTTGTCCCGTGTATACGCCGTTTACAAAGTTACCGCAGATCAACCGTGAAAATGATCGCGACGTGAATTTCGCCGCACGGCCACACGGGGTGTTTTTTTCTCTCTTTCTCCGTCTCTTTTCTTTCGTGCGGCGATAACGATTGTGCACGGTTATTCTCGGTTGATCCAGGAGGATGCAGCGCATCGCGGCTCTACTGGCTCTGCTCGCCTGCGTGTGTAAGTACCGTACCGAACGGAATAGCGTAAGCGGGGTTCTCTGGCTCTTCCCTCCCTTCCCGCTACTCGCCGCGGGTCTGTCTCCCCGTCTGTCGGGGTGAATCACACGGAGGGAAGAGAGCCGATCGAAGTTTCCGTAACGGCGCATCTCCCTCCTCCTCCACCCCCTCGGGATCCTCGCGCCGATCGTCTCGCGATCTTCCCAACCCGCTCCGACCGGTTGCCGCTCTGCGCGCGGTTTCTCCCTTTCTTCCTTTTCTGACCGGCCGACGTTGTAATTATGGCTAATTGAGTCTGAATCGCGCGCCTTGGCCGACTGGGCGATTTGAAACAAAAAAAAGAAAGGAAAAATCACAGGCTCCTTTCGAAGCGGTCACGATTTATACAACATGGATCATTCCAGCGATAATATTGCAGCGACATTATTACAAACATTGCAGTGATTGCTGCGTTCAACAGAGAAAACTGATTAATGAGCGCTTAATGATTTTTTAATATGAACGACTGCATTTAGCAGAGAAAGCAGTTCTACTATTGTTGTGAAAGTCTTTAATGTGATTGATGTTGTAATGTGATTGCTCTTAATTTATTACTGAATCTAAACATGTATAAACCAGTATAAAAGAATATCATATAAAAGAATCATGTAAAAGAATCTTACAATTGCGAAACTGCTGAACGCAGCCATTGGTTTTTGCCTTTAACTCTTTGCTGGATCGAATGTAGGAACCAATCATATTAAAGAATCGTGCACCGAGCGCTCACTGATCAGCTTTTTCTACTGAAAATTCCCCAAAATGTCTGCACTTAAATGAATATATAATATATAATATTTGAGTATTGAAGAATGAAAGACAGATGGCAAAGATGCTGAACGCAAAAAATGCAAGCAACGCAAATAAACCTAGAGCGGTATTCATAATCGGTTTTTAATCAAGGGAATAACCACTACTTGAAATATTGTCCCACAGATTATATGATTTTATTTGGTTTCATATAATTTCATCTGATTACAAATAATTTTCTTCACTACATATGAAGTCATTTAGTAAAATAAATAATTTTACTAAATATATTATCTAATATATTATACAAAATATATATACATATATATATAATATATTATAAAATAATTTCTCGTTGCATATGCAATTATCGGATTGTACATAGGGATTTCATATGAATTTTATAATGATTTCCAGGATCCTGCCCATTATTACATTAAATGATTATTACTCCCTTTTTAATTTCAAGACTATCTTAAGTAAAGGATCATTTATACTTGCTGTAATTTGTAAGAATTGACCAATCCTAGTGATTATCCTCCTCTCATTCGACTGTGATTGATCAATTTTTACAGATTGTGACATAAGTTAACAGATTATAGATATCAATATAAATGATTTTTTAGATCACTGCACGATTTTCCATAATCGTAAAACGTACCATAAGAATTAACCAATCAGCTGAAAATTTTTGATAATTCTTGACTGTAATTAGCTAATTCTTACGTTTTACTGATACAGAAAATGTGCACGATAGTCTTAATGTTTTAAAACGCTAAGGCTAGAAACACATAAAAAAACAGTAAGTCAATAAGGCTTAAGCAATGAGACTTAAGAAATAAGCGAATCGGCCAATCACAATAGAGTAAAGTATTCTCTACTGTGATTGGCTGATTCGCTTACTGCTTACGTCTTATGTTATTCTCTTGCGTTTTTTATATGTTTTTGATTTACAACTCTCTGATTGGCTTATTATACATTTTAAGACTGTACTTAAGACAATCTCAAATATAAGAATCGACTAGAAATACTTAATGCTGCTGCAAGCTCCTGTTTTATATGGGAAATCACTTTTGCTCCTGTCCGAGTCTCCTACAATTGTCGGAGATTTTACGGTGCTAAGTATTGATTCAGAAAGAACCGAGACCCGTTGATTTGAAATTACGCGATCAGATATCGCAGAAAGGGTATCATTTCGTGCGCGAAGAACCGCGAGAGTATCTGGCGAATGCATCAGTACGATATATACGGCAAACATAGTACGTTATACCGAGAACATTGTTACACGCTCGTTGCACGCTGTTATTTCCTGATAAAATCACGTAACTCGCCGAGTAAAATATTTCGTTGTTACCGGCCTGCTTTTTAAGTGTACGATTAATATTATCTCGAGTGATGCATAAAAAGATTTTGGAATATCCTGTAGAGCTTTGATCTCGCGTGCGCCAAAGAACCTATCTTTTTGTACATGCTCGTTATTTCGCTCAAATCACATTTATATCTTGATGAGATTAGTGATTACTATTATTATTTTGTGCATACAACATTGTTCACACATCGAGATTATTCATTGGCTTTATAATGACTGTTTTTAACACTTTATAACTATACAGAAAGTCACGGAATAGTAAATATTGCATATGATTGAAAACAAACTCGAATGATTTCATAAGAAAATGACATTTCCGGTACTTCGATTCTGTAACTTTTAACGACAGTTTAGTTGATAGTTTCCACATTTATGCTCATTTCTATTAATATAATTTAATTTTGATCTCGGTTCAACTAACTTTTCTTCTTTTTCTGGTCTGATTATAAGAATTATAAGAAAAAGATGAAAAGTAAGTTGAACTGATTCAAGTTAATCGCACGAAAAATCTTTTACGGTTACGACCAAAAATCGCCTCAATATATTAATAATTTTTTTTATTATAAGAACTATAATATATAATTGTGTGTTATAATCGTAAGATTGACATATCTTAACAGTTATGGCAGTTAAGATATGTCCATTTTACGATTATCATAACAACCAAATATATTGATAAGTGAAAATGATTATTATTTCCGGTTATGACAACCATAGCATTTTTTTCTGTGCTACATTAGTAGAAACAGGCATTAGTGACACAAGTCGACGCGAACATCATTTTATCTTTCTTGACATTTGGAGAGTAATAAAAATAAAATGATATTTTACTAAATAGAAAGCACCCGGTATTATTAATATTGTCGTTGCACAGCTTTTTTGTCATGTATGTATAATTATGCATCGTCTACAATACACGGAGTAAGAAGAGTAAGAAATTCAACCAATCAACACAGTCACGAGTGTGAGAAGAATAATCGAATGTGGTTGGTCAATTTCTTACTTTTTATTCCGTATATTGTAGGTCCTTGGTGCTACATACGTTTGGGAAGCATTTGACTGACCAATCAGAAGAAAGAATTTCACTAATTAACCAATCAAAAATGCTTCGAAACATTTGTAGCATCAATCGACTATAAATGTATAATACCTGCGTAATAATACGACAATATAAAGATGCGTTCCATTTCACGCATAGTGCACATGATATCCTTGATCATTTTATCCTTGTTGTTTATCAAATATTAAAAAAAAATAAAATGATACATCATGTGCATCATGTGTGAAATGAAATGCAGTCCTCGCTTGTCGTGTCGCTTCCACTTTTTACACTATAGCGTCTTTGCTTTCTCTCTCTTCAATCTCTGAATATACATTTACTTTATCTTAGCTGTAAAAAATTTTTGAGAATTTCGAGCAACATGAACAGATCTAACATATCAACACTATCGTTAAAAGTTAAAATGATGGCACACAAAAGAAACTTATGCAGTAAAACGTAAGCAGTAAAGAAACCAACATGTTAAGCTTTTCATATGCAGCACATTGCGACAACAATTCGTTGCTATTGGTTAAAAATTTTACATGAGATGACGCACTTCCGACGCAAAATGTATTTTGCCATATCTCATTGAAGTTCAACAACGAGCAGCAAAGAATTCGAAGTCGAGAAAATCTGCAATATATGAAAATTGAGTATATTTACAATGAGTATATATAATGAGTACATTTTTATTAAGATTTGAAGTGATGGGGATATTCTAAATTCTAAATAATTGCCTAAAATGATAATTGTCCAAATTGTAACTGCATTAACAGTTGCCATATAATTACAAGTTTTTATTTTTTTAAATTTTCCATATTAATTTTCTGAGCAAATAAAAGACACATATTTGAGGTAAACTTTAATACATGTGCTATTGCCGTTATTCCTTTTCATGCGTAGCAAATGTGCGGAAGCAATTGTGAAAAATTTGCATCACGTGACATTTTTGCAGCGTGCTGCGCATGAAAAAGCGTCTTTAGATTCACTGTTGTTTACGTTATGTAGGCTTACGATCTTTGTAGCCAATTCGCTTACTGTTTACGTTACGTTTTTGCTTAAGTTTTTTTATATACCAAACAGAATCGGAATACTGGCTTTCATTATATTTTATCCGAGGGACATTTTGAAGAAACGTTCTTAGGACGTAGAACGTCTTTTGAATATCATTAGGATGTCCCTTGGAGGTTTATGCTGTAAAGCGGGTTCTACATTAGTTGCAAGCCGATCACAAGTTTGTTCCGGCAGCCAATATGAAGCGTTGATTTCAAAATGTAAGCTTCAGACTGGCTGTCGCAATAAACTTGCGATCAACTTGCAACTAATGTGGAAACCGGCTTCAGAGATTTTTTCACATTTGCTATTTTTTTCTCACCGAATTCGTAAGCGGGATTAAAAATTATTTCAAACATTTTACTCTAGACTGTGAATTTATTAAAAACCTGTTATCCTGTTGTTAGCTATTTTCTATTCAACTCAGGTATCACGTTTTTCAAAAAGGATGAAAAAAGGAACAGAAATGAAGAAAAGATCACAACTTTCTTTTCATTATACTATCCTCTTCTCTGCAACGCAAATTGAAGAGTTGTGAGGAAAAAAAAGGAGACATATTCTTTCATCTAATCGGAACTGGCCAATTTGTGTCCTCCTCGCGGATTCTCCCTCGACTCTCACGAGGACTCGGCCGACGAGACGGGATCCAAATAGTGAGGAAAGGTTGCTGGCTCTCCACCATGACGGTGGCTCTCCTCTCAAAGAGGAGGAACCGGTTCGATAGCCGCGCACACCTACACGAAATGCGACG